TGCTCTAGACCTTTTAGGTAATTCTTTTAGATTTCATCTACTTCCCCAAATTTACTCCCCAGAATCTTTGAGAGATGTGTGTTTGCTTGTTTCTGGTATTTTGTTATTTGAGACAGCGTCTCCTTATGCAGTCCTAGCTGGCTAACACTTGATATTCAGGCTGGATTTAAATTTGTGGCAGTCTTCAGGAGTCTACATTTCAAATGCTGGGGTTACAGACAGGCATGCCCCACCAGAGCCAGCTGCAGGCTATCACATTTTAGATTCTCTTCAACAGATTGTTAAATGCATAGTAGGTATGTGACAACTATTCTTGGTTGTCAACTTGACTACATCTGGAATAACCAAAATCCAAAAATGGAGGGAACTCCCGGGAAGAATTTTTTTCCCCCTTAAAGTAGATCTACTTCTAACCCAGACCTTTAAGGTAGGAAGACATGGGCCTTTGGTCTGGATTGTGAGGCAGGAAAATAAACCTTTAATCTGAGCCACACCTTCTGAGGACGTGGTAGGGACACCAAAACTTTTGCTCTCTGCCTGCGTGTCCTTGCTTGCTAGTATGTCCATTCCTTCACTGGCATTACAGTCTACTTCTTCAGGGTTCCAGCGCAGACTGAAGACCAGCTCAGACATCCGGCCTTGTGGACCAACCAACTACTGGGTTTGTAGACTTTCCACTCACAGCCAGCCATTGTTGGATTAGCTGAACTGCAGCCTGCAAGTTGTTCTAATCAACCCCCCTTTCTATATATAGAGAGATGCATTCTATAAGTTACGTTACTCTAGAGAACCCTGAGCAATGCAAGGCCCTTCCATGAGTTCATTAAATCCTAGGGATTGTCTCTTAAGGTCTCTCTCCTTTGTTTACCATAGCCAACCTGAAATCTAATTATTTGCCTGTTTCCACTTGAGTGTGTGCTATGAAGGGATTGAATCCAAAACCTTGTGCATACTAGGGAAGAACTCTGCCACTATAGTATAACATGTGGTGGTTTGGAGATGTCCCCCATAGTTCTGGGCATTTGGATGTTTGGTCCCTAGCTAGTGGCAGTGTTTGGGAAGGTTTGAGGGTTTTAGTCTTGTTGGAGAAGTGTGTCACCTGAGGCAGACTTTGAGAATTTAAAGACTCTGGATGTTAGCCATTCTGAGTTCACTCTCTCTGCTTCCTGCTTGTGTTCCCAGATTTAAGCTCTCTGTTTCCAGTTGTCACGCCTCCACCCTGCCAAGGTCATGGTGTTTTATCATTGTAACAGCAAAGTAGCTAATATGTATCCCTAGCCCTCTTCAGCAGGCATGTCTATAACTTTCAGAACAGTCGATTTTTCTGGCACTGGACACTGAACCTAGGCCTCACACATGTTAGACAAGTGCTTTGCCAGTGAACATCCCCAACCCTTTGATTGGTTCCTTTTTAGTTCTATTCACAGAACTAAGCAACTCTCTCTCCCTAGTTCTCTGACAATATTAAAGCAAATGCACAAAGTCCTTTTCTCCTAATCTACTTTTTAAACTATTTTTGTGATTATTCATATTTTTGTGATATGAATAATCAATCTAAAATATAAAACACTGGATGTCAGGCACAGTGGTGTACACCTCTAATCCCAGAACTAGGAAGGCAGAGGCAGGTGGATCTCTTGTGATTCAGGAAAAGCCTTGGTCTACACACTAAGTTCCAGGCCAGCTTGGGATATGGAATGAGATCTTGTCTCAGAAAGAAAGAGACTGAGTCCTATAGTTGTGGGAAACTGTTCAAAGCATAAAGCACTGGGCATCAAGATGGCTCCAAGGGTAAAGGCTCCTACCACCATACCTGACTACTGGAGGACAGTTTCCAAGACACACAAGGTGAAAAGAGCCAGCTCCTGAAAGCTGCCCTCTTCCTTCTGCTCCCATATCCTAGGAAGCATGTATCGCTGCACTTAAATTGAAAAGCTGTTTAAAAAATATCAAACAGGCCTGAGGATATAGTTGATTTGGTAGAATGCCTGCCCAGCCTGTTTAGCAGGCACAGGACCTGAGTTTGATACACAGCACCATATGTGTAGTATACCTATAATCTCAGCTATGAAGACAAAAGAAATAGGGCTTGCTAGTTGTGTAGGTACATGCCTTTAATCACAGCAGTTAGGAGGCAGAGTTCAAGATCTGAGTTCAAGGTCAGCCTAATCCATGAAGTTAGATCCTGTTGAAAGGAAGGAATAAAGAGAGAGAGAAAGAAAGAAATTTAATGCCAAAAGTGGACAGGCATCTTTGACTATATAGGGAGTTCATGGCCAGTTGGGATGCATGTCTTTGTGTCAAAATAGAGATGATGATACCTATTTATGGACTTATGCTTACAAAATGACTGGAGCAAACTGAAACCACATTGTGAGCATCTTCTGTGTGTGGCATTGGCAATCCAGTCCAGGGCTTGGCTTGTGCTATGCAAGCACTCTAACACTGCAGTCCACATTTCCAGTTCTCAGCTTTTCTTACAGGCTTCTCTGCATCTCAAATGCTCACACAACACCTCATTTCTCACCACTTTTGAAAGAGGAGACTCAGATCCTAAGATTCCAGCACTCGGTTGCAACATGGCTCGTGGCTGTGCTGATTTCAAAGGCACTTTCAATCATGCTTAACTGTCACCATGCCACAATTGTGTTTGAAAAGGATCATCTATACATTCATCCAGTAAATTATTGTCACTATGCATGTTTGACTTTCAATAGATCTATGAGCCAAAGTCAACAAAATAGCCCCGTTCAAAATCTAACCTCAATATGGGATAAAAAAAAACAAAGGGCTTCACTGGCAATTTCTTCATTTTCTGAGTTATGTTCAGAAGCAAAGAGTAATTCATTGAGAATGTACAATTGATATTAACAGCAGTCTCCAGTGCAAAAAGAACCCTGGTTAACATTTATAAAGTGGAAGGGGCCCAATTGGCCAAAAGGAAGAACATGGAAATTTTGCCCACAGCCAGAACAATGGACATAGATTTGTCAAAACAAAGAACAGTTAAGGGAGGGAAGACAATTTGCCCAGCCCTTGTTACGCTGTTTTATGACTATTTTTCCAGTGCCCAGTTTCCTATTCACTTTAACAAAGAAAAAAGATTAAACGAAAATAAATGTAACATTTAGCAAGCTTATATTATTCTTTGGCAGAAACAAATAAGTTGTGTTCAAAGTCCAACCCCTGGAAACAATCTGGCATCACTGACTGCAGCAGCAAAGCTGTAGAAGGGAGTCTCAAGACTTATTGTCAGTCTTTGGTTCAACTGCAAAGCTTTAATGTTAATAAAGATTAAACTAAAGCTCTGGGGATCTAGCTGAGGCATAAGGCACTTGCTTAGTGATTTATTTACAAGTCCCGAATACCACACACATTCACAAAGAGGAACATGCCGAGTTGGTACGGAGCTTTCTTACCATGCAAGGATCCCCAATCTGATATAAACTGGACATTGGGTGCAAGCAAGTCAATGACCCCTGCACTGGGCAAGTGGAGACAGGAGGGTCAAGGCCAAGGCTGGGCAAGTATGTTAGCACCTTTAATCCTAGAACCCAGGAGGCAGATCTGAGTTAGACACCAGTCTGGTCTACATAGTGATATCCAGGCCAGCCAATACTACAGTGACACTCTTTAAAAAAAAAGTTCAAGGCCATCTTCATACTCAGCTACTTAGTAGGTATGAAGCTGGACTACTCTACATTAGAACCAAATTCACTCCTGAGCCCCCCCCCAAAGAAAACAAATAGGTCTTTTTAAAAAATAAGTTCTTTATGCCATTGTTGTGATCTAATCAACATATTTCATGGCATTACACAACAGAATCTTGGCTCTCACACTGTCAAGCTGGCCTTTGGATGGTATATCAAAGAGCTGTATTGAGACAGCTAGGAAACAACATCACTAACTGGAAACAATGTTAAAAATGTAAGCCTTGAGTTTAAAGTACAAAACTGGAAAAACAAAACAAAAAGCAGGTCCTGAACATAAACTACTGAGTGGGTTGCACATTCTCTTCCCAGGCTCACGGTGGACTCCAGGGCTATCCGTCTCCCTATTTGTCAAGCCTCACTCAAGTGCTGTTAAAAAAACATGGTCGTGCATATGTATGTATTTTTTATATGCAGGGGTTGGTTTTGTTTTGTTGATAAACTGAAAGTGGGCACCAGCAAACTGTTTTTGTTCTGTTGCTTTCTCTCGCTGTAGTTAGTTTCATAGAGATGATGTGGAGTGGGCTTTGCTTTTGACCTATGTATGCAATCACACAACTCAGACCCACATAACCAAAAAACCTGTCTGAACAAATGGCTAACACAAATCACACAAAGGGCTCTCCCTCTCTGCTTATTCAAACATGAGAGCATGCCTATTGCTGTCATTTTTAAAGCCTTAGAAACTACCACTGCTTTACAACAGTTGTGAGTTTTCACAACATGACACGAGATTTTTGAAAAACAAAACTGTCTATCCTTTCGATTCTGGGAGAGGCCAGTGCCTATGGCAGGTAGTACACAACCTCCAGTCACTCTGCAGCTGAGTTTTAAATGGGCGTGGAGCAAATGTCTGAGCAACCTTAGAAAGCCTTTGGCAATACGAAGGTCTCACGACCTTCGAGGGTGTCAGCATCTGTGAGTGTTAGGAAAGGGACTGTGTGGAAACTGAAAGTTTGTGCAGATCTTCTACAGCACAAGACATAAGACTCCGGAGGTTTCTGGAACACGTGCACAGCTCCAGCAAAACAAAACCCATCCAGGTTCTTCGGAGAGTGGGAGGCACACCCGCATCAGTTAAAATCAGCTGGACCGCTGTGCAGAGTGGGCTCCCTGCCCTATAGTCTCACGATCCCTGGCTCCCATAGTCCTGTGTAAGCGTCCCACAGGCAGCCCTGCATCAGTTTGCCCAATAGTCGCTGCTTCTACACCCACCCACCCTGTGCCCTCCGCTTCCCAGGCATCCTTCCCCGATGGGTGGGCGCGACACCCGAGTTCCCAGACACTCACACGTGGCCACAGCGGGTCCGGACAGGCTGATGTAGCACCTCCAGGCACACCGAGCAGTCGAAGGAGGTGATGGGCAGCTCGGTGTCACCGCTGCGCTCCAGGGGCCGTGGGGCGGCGGAGGCGGGCGCAGACTTGGAGCTGTCGCTGCTCAGCAGGGAGCCCATGGCTGCGCTATCACGCTGTCACCGCTGGCTGCCAGGAGCTCGGTTGGGCTGCGGGGGGAGGAGGGGTTCTGTTGTCTCTCCCCGGAGGAAGGAAGTCCCGGCCCAGCCGGGATCGCCGCCTCCTGGCTTGGCCAGCCGCGTCGCGGGGCCTCTCGGAGGAGCGCAGGCAGAGCGCGGGGCCACCGCTTGCAAACGCTCTTCCTCGAGCCACCAGGCGCTGCAGAGGCTCGAGGTCCCCAGAGGGTGAAACCTGAACCTTCCACCCGGTTGCACTCTGAGTTCTGCAAAGTGTAGCTTGAGAACAACCACTGGAGACAGGATGACTATCTGGCCTCCCTCCAAGTTGGTATCTTAATAAACCTCAGAGCCGACCTATGACCATTTTGGTGATTGACTCAATGCTTTAACCAGGAAGGAATACATAGGTGGGGGGGGGGGGGGAGAGAGTGGAAAGTTCCCTGATTCAGAGTCCCACTTGGTGGCATACAGATACAGTGCCAACCGTCAGGCAAGAGGATTACTGCGAGTTCGAGGCCAGGCTGTGACAAGCCAGACATCATGGTTTGTGCCTTCAAGTTCAGCACTTACAAGGCTGAGCAAGGAGGATTATTGAATGTTTCAGGGCACCCTGGGCAACACAGTGAATTCCAGAACATTCAGGGCTAGGGAATGAGACCATCTCAAGAAAACACCACCATTTTAGATGTAGTTCAGTGATGCTTGCTTAGCCTGTGAGGTCCAGGTTTGTTGCCCAGGACTGGTATAAATGAAAAAAGTGTAGAAAATAAGACTCCTACCTGCTTATGGCGGGGCACGCCTGGGATAAGAGAATGCAGGAGGCCGAGCTAGAGGAAAAACAGGTTGGAGAGAATAATAATAGACTTAATGCAGCTGGATAGGCAGATACACACTATGCTGTAAACTATATATAATACTACAAAATATGTAATGCATTAAACTAAATTATCCTGGTCTTCACGAAGTTTCTCCCAGTCTTTACCTTTTTTCTTTCTCTTTTCAAGACAGGGTTTCTGTTTGTAACAGTCCTGACTGTCCTGGAATTCACTTTGTAGACCAGTCTGGCCTCAAACTCAGATTTCTGCCTGCATCTCCCTTTGCACCACCATGCCCAGCTGACACTTTTAATTTTATGTTGTTTAATTTTATGATGCTGGGTCTTGTCTCTCAAGCAAACATTCTAACATTTGCTTTGACAAGGCCTGAAATCCAATCAGAAATCAGTTGGTAAACCCTAGAACAGGGATGGAACTATTACACCAGCAATGGGCAATTTTTGCAGGTATAATTTTTGTTGAAAGTAAATGGACACAAAGAACAGTGAAGCCTACCAGATGGAGTTAAATATATGTTCTGTCAATGACTGTACTCATCCGTGTAGGCATTTAATGAGGAAGGCTACTTTGTGTCAAATTCATCACTAGTTAGTCTCTAGGAGCAGGATAAAGGATGGTCTAGTTAGTTAGCATCAACTGTCAACTGGACAAAGCATAGAAACTAACTGAGGAATTTTCTTTATCAGGTTGGTCTCTGGGCTTGTGTATGACAATGAGAAGTTGTCTTGGTTGTTTAAGTAGGAGAGCATAGCCTACTGTAGGCAGCATTTCTCTCCAAGCAGGTGGTCTTCAGCTATATATGAAAGCTACCTAAGGTTGGGCTGTGGTGGCACATGCCTTTAATCCTAGTACTTGGGAGGCAGAGGCAGGCCGATCTCTGTGAGTTCGATAGAGACCAGCCTGATCTACAAGAGCTAGTTTCTGGACAGCTTCCAAAGCCACAGAGAAGCTCTGTTTTGGAAAACAACAACAACAACAAAAAACAAACAAAAACAAAAAGGAAAGAAAGAAAAACTAAAAGAAAGCTACCTAAGCATGAGCCTGGGAGTGAGAGAAACTAGCCGCCCTCCATGGTTTTTGCTTCAGGCTCCTGCCTAGAGTTGCTTCGCGACTCCCCTCAATAATGGACCGTGATATGGAAGTTAAGCCTTACAAATTTTTCCTTTCCATAAGTTGCTTTTGGTTAGAACAGGAAGGAGCCTAGAACAAACTAAGGAGTGGACAGGTACTGGCGTTGGCCACGAGAACCTCTTCACCTTCACTGTTTCCTCTTTGGGTGGATTCCATTCTTTGCCTCTGAATTTAAGAGATGCTTTTGGCTGGTTACTGTGCACCATGGTGGTAAGGGTGGGCCATGCAGTGTATACCTATGTTTCTGTGACACACTGTGACTTTGCAGTGCACCACTCATTGTGTACCTTTTAACCCCAGGCCCTCCCTTTGGATGGGGTCACAGCCTTCCTAGCCCCTCCCCATAGCTGATGAAGCACTTCCTCTTTCTCTCCTGTCTTCACAGCTTGTAGCTTTTCACCAACACTTCCTTTTTCTCTTGTGCAATCTGTTCTGTTAGGCCTGTGGTTTACACCAAAATGACACCTCTTTCCTGTCCTCAAGGCTCTCATTTCTCATAGATAAGCTATTTGAGAAAATAACAGCTGTAGCCGGGAAGTGGTGGTGCATGCCTTTAATTTTAGCACTCAGGAGGCAGATCTGAGTTCGAGGCCAGCCTGGTCTACAGAGCATGTTCCAGGACCCTGTCTTGAAATGGTCCATCCTCCCAAGAAAGAAAAACAAGCCTTGATAATACACATCATCGGTGATCAGAATCTATGAAAAGAGTGAGGATGATGGCGTGAGCCAGAGCATGTAACAAAGGAGGCAGCATGAAAGCACATTCTGGAGCTAGAGACTCAGCTCAGAGAAGGGGGAGCTTTCCCAGCATACAGGATCGTAGCCCGTGCTACAATCTATTCCATGAATCGGGTGAAGGCCCAGAGATTGAAATAAAGACAAGACAACGGGCCATTCGTTCAATGGCAATGTCGGAACGCCAGATGCCGAATGCCGTTTATTGAGGGGAAAGATCGGGCTTAAATACGGACTTACAGCACAGTGGAAAATTACAGGAATTTTAGGCTTAGCTCCTCCCTACTAGGTGTGTGTTGTCAAAAGGTACCAACAACAGCCTTGGGGCAAGGAGTTTCAGGCTTGCTCAAGGTGCCTCAGGGGTCCATGCAGGGTTCTACAGGTCCCCCTTTTAATATAAACTAACACCTGTCTTAGGTGGCAGAGGACGTCAGCATAATTTCTTACCCATTGGAGAGGTCACCCAGGCCCTTAATCTTCCTGTCTTAGGTTGGATATTTGCCCCCTCTGCCTTACTGGTCTCTGGTGAATAGTTTGTCAGCCACACGTGGGCAGAGGCATTTTCTCTTGAGCCAAAGACAGTATCTGTCTTGTTTGAAAGTTGGCCTAGGCCTGTTTAATGCTGTGGCAAAGTAGTACCAAGTGCAAGGGCTACAAACCCCAGTAATCTGCCCACAAGTTGAAGTCCTTGTAAAAGGTCTTCTGCATTGGCAAGTGGCACTCAGGTTTCATAGATGTTAATGATCTGCATGTGTATAACTTAAAAACTGATTACTCCAGGATTTCTGGAGAAAAATGATGCATTAACACAGATGTGTGAAAGACAGAAGAAGCCATATGAGCTTCTCCCAAAAATTCAAATGTTCCTATAGGTGGTTACTTTGTAAATTTAGTTTAAAAATTCCAATTTGTACTAGATTATCAAGTGTGCTAGGGCTTAAGCCAAATCACCTGATAGTTGATCCACTGTGCTTGTAGTATTTACAGATATGGCCACTCAGGCACCCAAACAGGGTCTTGTGAAAAGACACAAACTGACCCTTGGGCCCATACTAGAACTGGGCCAGGGCCGCACCATTGTCTAGTAGTGACATTCTTCCACATAACTGAGCCATAGTCAGATGACCGAGGGTGCCAATGCCTATTGGCTGCAGATCAAGCAGCACCATCAATAGTAAAAAAAATTTAAAATATAAAGGACAAGAGAAAGGTGATTATGAGGAAACCCTGTATAAGCAGGGCCATTATCAGTTTTTAATTGTCTGGGCATTCCCATATAAGCAAAGGCTTGTAAAAATGGCTCTTAACAGCCTTAAGCCTTTCTCCAGTATGGGCAGAAAGGCAAATATGCGATGAGAATGGGTATCCACAGATACATGAACAAATTGTAGTCAACCAAAGGAAGGAACGTGGGTAACATCCAACATCCATCCGCCAGATATCATTAGGCGTGACACCAAGGTTAACTTACAGGGCTCTTAAAATTAATAGAAGGAATGCTAACTGCAACTCACTATCCTGAGGTTGCAAAGGAATGCTAAAAAAAAAAAAAAAAAAAAAAAAGCAATCTTTTAGGTCTACAACTAATTAATGATAGCCTTGAGGAATACCTACAGGGGAAGGTAAGCCAGGTTGTGTGGCTCCCATAATTTGCATACAATCATTAATAGATCTTGTAGGAGTCTCCATTTTCCAGATTTTTTTCTTTATAAAAAAGATTAGAGTATTCCATAGGGAAGTTGAAGGAACAATATGTCCTACCTCTAATTATTCCTTTACAAGTTGATGTGCAGCCTGTAATTTCTCAATAGGTAAGGGCCATTGCTCCACCCATACTGGGTTATCAGTTTTCCAGATAATAGGAATGGGAACAGGCTGCATAGCAATAGCCTCTAAGGAAAATTTCCTAACCCAGAGTGATCTCCAGTCAGCCAGCACATTTTTAACAGGCTCAGTAGTAAGGACTGCTCCCATGGCCTGAAGCACATCTCTTCCCCAAAGATTAACAGGGATATGACTTAATACAAAAGGTTGAAAAAGACCTGCATGCCCCTCATTATCTGACCATTTAAGAAACTGACTACTACGTTCTGAAACCACAGCAGTTCCTTTTGAAATGTCCTGGTTGTCCACACCCAAAGCAAGTCTTTGGCCTGGCTCCTCCATTGTTCCCACTTCTTTTCATAACTGAAGCTGTAACCTGGACCATAATGTGAATACCATCTATGTCCTGACATATGCTTATATAGTCATTGAGATTTGGCCTTATGGGGACGTAGAGCTTCTTTACAATACTTGTTTGCATTTTCG